ATATGGCTGTTGCAAAGGTCTAACTCTGAACTGACAGTGCTCTGAGGCCACAGAGTGAATCCTTTCTCTCCAGCTAGTGGGTTAAGTGTCCCTTGTGACTGACCTAAAGGACAGGATCACATATTACAATAGCTGCAGTTCTTACCATCATTGTTGCTCATAAATGCCGAAGTTGCACAAGGACCCCTTAAACCAGAGGGAATCCATGGGCAGGAACTGTAAGGTTGGTTCCAGTGGTGTTTAATTTCACAGTCCATACAATTAAGAATGACTATTGGTCCTAAAGGCAAGATCTAGTTTCCTTCCAACTTCCAACATGTAGAGATTTTTAGAAGTGTTCTTTTCTTTGTCCCAAAAAAATGGATAGTTTTGCTCACTGGCCTGCTGGACTGGCCTTTCATCTGCCCTTCCTTCCTTCCTTCCAGGCCATACGGGGCAATGCCATAGACCGGCACCTCCTCGGCCTGAAGCTCCAGGCTATTGAGGATCTCGTGAGCATGCCAGAGCTGTTCATGGACACAGCCTATGCTGTTGCAATGCACTTCAATCTCTCAACCAGCCAGGTAGGACAAAAGTGCTCTCTCTGCTTCTTTTCATGCTTTTCTTCTCCACGTTTCTTTCGTTCCTTTCTATTATAAACTAATCTTCATTTGGGGTCAGGAATTTTTAAGCCAGCTGCCAATCCCATAAAGGTGCAGATCTGACTTTACAGCTGCCACAGTCCCTCACAGCCTTGTAAAAACTAACCTAACCAAAGCCAGGATCACCAGAAGTGTTTGGTGTCTAAATGCAAGTGAGATCAATGAAGCCAGCTGCCAGGACAGCTTCATCTTATCTGCTGTGCTCTGATTCTTACTTGTGACTTACTACAAGTTTATCCTGGGGAGCAGCACTCCTTTGGAAATGCAGAGGAAGACACGTTGCTGCTAAACAGTAGGATCCAGCATGAGTGTGGTGGGAGGTGGGGCTGACCAGAGGCCCTTCTAGAGCACTTTAATGAGATGAGTTTCCTGCCGACAGAGCAGTTTGCATTTGATGGTTTCCCTTCTCTCTGACTGGTCAGAAGGTTTTAATCACACTGTCTCCACAGGTCCCAGCAAAGACAGATTGCGTGATGTGTTTTGGTCCCGTGGTTCCAGATGGCTATGGAATCTGCTACAACCCCATGGAAGAACACATCAACTTTGCAATTTCAGCCTTCAACAGCTGTGCCGACACAAACGCCGCCCGCATGGCACATTATCTGGAGAAGGCACTGCTAGACATGAGGAGCTTGCTCCAGGCTGCTCCCAAATCCAAACTGTAAGAGGCAAACATGATGCAAACCCCCCTTAGTTAAAGGGGCTATGCCTCATGCACTGAAGTTCCCAATTCCTCAGACAATAATTGAGAGAACAGCTGCCCCTGGAACCTAGGAAGGCTTCTATCATTTGCTTTCATCAAGAGGTTACACAACAGTCACCCACAGATACCAGACTCTGTAGTGAAACAGTGTCAAGCCAAAGTACAACTGACTGGTCCTCTCCTGTCAACGCAAAGTGCACCTTCCTGTCCTCAAAGAGGACTCAAATATGATTTTTACAAAACTTACTATAAAGGAATACAGAAAGCACAGTCCTTACCAGTATCTAAATCCATCTGGTGAGGAAGGTAGTTCTCCAGGAAAAGCAGGGAATGTTTATTGTGTGATGCAACTACTGTTAAGTCTTCCGAAGAGCGTCTTTCAAACTTGACTGAAGGTTTTTCTGCTGCTCCAGCAAAACTTCACCACTGAACTTTGGCAAGGGGAGAAAGAAGTTAAGCCAGAGCAGATCCAGCCTTGTTAGAGTGCACTGCACTACTCATCCCAGGCACTCCAACCAGTGTCTGCTTTACAGGAACGTTCCCTTCCCCTCGTTTTAGGACGCTGGGATCTCCCTTCTGTTGCACTGACCTTATTAACAACAGAACATGACTTGCTGCAAACTAAGGTGGTTTTTATTGGTGGCTTTGTTGTTGTTGCTCTGGGCTGTTTGTTAAGCTTGCTGCTGTGGTCCTGCCATTGATCTTCCAGCTCAGCCTAAAGCTTTTTCCCCCACAAAGCTTCTACGAAACTCCTCTCACATAGGTTTTGCCAGCTTTGGCTTCACATCTGCAGAGATGAGAAGAGATTGTCTATGCATTCAGCAGGACACTTGCTAAGCTTTGTACCTTTCTTTGGAACTGAGGAAAGGAAAAAGATGCTGACTCTGCCTACCAGCCATAAGGCCACGTGCCTCATCCCCTTCAGGACTCACATGTTTATACCTTGCTTTCAGAAACAGCCTTTTTGTGCACACTGTTATGCCTGAGCTGTGGACAAATAAGGACATTTCTGATCAGGAACTCCAAACATTCTTCCATTTCTGGCCCAGAGAGTTAAAATCTGGTAAGGGCCAAAGGAAAAACAGCTGCAGAATCACCCTTCTTTCACAACACTCTGCTTTTAACAAGGCAGAAAATCTTGAAAAGCAGGAAGCTGGGAACACGTGGACACTGTAGATGTTTGTGCACTGTGGCAGCCACTGTTCCTGCAGTATCAGCACCTTTCCTGCCACTCTTAGGAGTTATTTCTTACTGAAATATTACTCCAATTTGTGTCAGCTTTATTCTGTAAGAGAATGATCTCACGATCATGTTTTCATGTTCAGCTGACAAACTTGAGGCAGTAAAAGATTATATATGAACATTAACATACAATGGTAGCATAGGAACTACTTCCAACCAATCCTGCTAGAATCCAAGTTCCTGACTACACTTTCATTTAGTAAAACTGTATGGTAATAAGGAATTCTAGTGCTGTGTCTGCAACAGGAATTCTGTATTTAAATTGCACACCCTTCAAGATATGTCTGCTGGGACATCATCACAGACAAGAAGCATTAGGAGTGTGAGGGCCTGTTTTTTTAACAGGGAAATAATTGCAAGGGACATGATCAAAGTGCCTTGGTGAACAAAAATGAAGAAATTTGCACTAAAGCTGTTTAAAAGAAAAAAAAAATCATTCTAATTTCTTTCTCGAAAGACAAGCCAATGCTTTGGCATTTTTTTCCTGAAAGGATGTTATTTCAAAGCTTCTATCTTATACTTAAACAAACCTTAAAAAAGAAAATTTAACTGAAACTCACCTGCACAGCCAGTGATTGTATAAACTGTCACTTTTACATCATCTACATGGGTTTAGTTGATCTTTTAGAAGAATCCTGAATGGAGTGAGACAGCCTCAAGATACGAATAGGAGCACTACAAACCTGCAAGCACACACCTCTCTGCTCTGTCAACTCCTCTGTATCAATCAGACAGAAAACTGCAAGAGGATAACTCGGTATTATCAAACTCTAAGTGATTGTGTAAATAACTACAGAAAAGATCAAACCTTACCGGAATTACATCTGGGTTTATGGAGCCTTTTACATGGTAAAAATACTCTTTTGCCAAAGTAATCCTGCCCCCATACTGAATCAGCCTCTGTTGCCAGGGGATGAGTTATTTTTCCATGTCTGCAATGCCTTCAAGCACAAGTAGTGCCACTGAAGTATTTGAGACTGGCCCTTTTCACTGCTGTCTCAAAGGGGGAAGGCTCTCCAAGGAAAGTGCCTATTAAAGATTAAGCATAAGCATGTGCTGCTGTGACTGTACCTCAGAAGATGGGATTGATCTATCCTGGATCTAAATCTGGATATCCCACTAGCTTCAGCAGAGTACAGCTGCAAGGAGCAGACTGTCCCACTGAAAGAGATACAAGATTCATAACCCAGTTAATGCATCCTTACTGACACACAGAGCTGAAATTCTGATGAATGAAGCTGATTTTTGGAGTGCTTGAAAGGATACTGCTAAAATCATTACAAGGTTTTTCCTTTAAAAAGTCTTTTCTTATTGTACAAGTCCTAAAATGTGATGTCCTTCTGGTTCATACCTTTTAGATTTTTTCAGTGTTGACTTAAAACTGTTCTCCCTGTTTCTGATTGTTTTATCAAGAGATTGTCTTAAAGGCAAATAAGGTACAAGAAACTAAAGCTCCAGAAAAGCTACCGATTTGGAACAAATAATTTAAGGAATTCATAGACTGAAAACATTGGGATAACTCTTGGGGTCTGAGTGCAATTTTTGACACAGCCTGGTAGTGTTGCATGCTTTGCTGGTTAGCTGTGTTAAAATCCTGTTTGGGTAAAGGGATTCATGTCATGTAAAGTTTGGAACCGTTCGTTGAATAAACTGAAACACAATAAACAGATAAGTGCCACAAAAAGGCTTAAATCTCCTCAGACACTGCAGAAGTTACATAACTGCCCTCATTGGGAGGATGTTTGTGTGGGGACAGCAAGAACAGTGAACCACAGCATTCTGTCACCTTCCTTTTTATTGTCTTATCTCTATCCAGCCCCCTGGAGTACAGGGGAGGAATAGAAAGCATCTGCTTGCAAAGCCACATATTCCAAAGAAAATATTCCATTTCAGAAAACTAGTGGCAGGAGACTTCATACAAGTGTAGGATAATAAGGCAGAGCTCAAATCTTTTTCCTGCACAGCACCATTTAGTTAAGAAAATCCATGGAATCACTAAGGAATTTTAACTGTATCAAGTATTGCAAAGATTTCTGAAAAGGTACAGCAAAAGTAGGCAGAAGATGCAGATTACAAACAACTCACAGAACAGAGGAGAGTTTATTACAGTGTCTTACAAGAGCTCTTCTTCCTCTCCCTCACTCCTAAAAATTACTGTAGGAAGCTTGGGTTTGAAGGCAACATGAAGTGGAACAGCTTTTTACACTACACTGCTCTCCATGAGGAGATGAACCCTCTTCCCTGTGCTCTAGTTCTCAATAGGTGCTTCCATATATAGTTTTTCCAGCAGTTTGTCATAACAGCTCGAGAGGCTGGGGAAGTGCTAAGCCACTCCTGAAACAATCCTCTCTTTCAGCCCTGGCCTTGGGAAAGAGAGCTGTGATCTCCATTCTGGCTTTGTAAGTTCACTCACAAGAGACAGAAAGAGAAAATAAACAGTTTTGAAAGACATAAGTGATTAGTACCAGTTTTCAGGCTGAAACATATGGTACCACCATGGTACAGGGCCTGTCTGATGTCTCATCCTAACAGAGCTGGTCTAAGTCAGATCAAATGTCCTTGTGAAAGCTGCAAGATGCCTCTTTATTATGATGCACCTTCAAAGCAGATCCAGTGCTTGGGTCCTTCAGGTGTTACAGGATTGCTCGTGTTATGCAAATACTAAACAGTTCTTAAAAAAATATATATATACTTGCTGTGACAACTGACAACAGTTAATTTACTACCCATAGGTATTTAAACACAGAAATTTAAACAGCTTTCATTCCTGATCTCCTGAATTAGGACCCTTTCTACAGTTAACACTCTGGCTGTCCAACAGCACCTCCCACTCCACATGAACACAGAAACTCCTATAGCAACAGGCACAGATGAAAACTTAAAAAAAAAATAATAAAAAAATAACCAAGATGAACAGAAAAAAACATCTCACTTCAAGCAGCTTTATAATGCAGGAGTCTGATTAAAGTGGAAATAGTAAAACAGGCAGCAAGACCGAGATGTGACAGTCATTTTACCTCTGCTCACATGACTGCATCGAAGGCACACCGATGACCTTTGAGCCAGTTCAGAAGCTGTCCTTTTATCTGTGAAAGTTCAAGTCAATTGTGCTTTGAATAAATACTTCTCTGTAGTTACACTTGAACTGCTGCATTATATACTAGAAATACAGAAAGTGTCCATGCACAGCCCTGAAGCACTTGGAGTTTAGCCCTTGCCAGGTGAACTCATGGGTCACAGAGGTCGGAGGCATCACCAGCACACAGAGATGGCAGGCACACTCCCACAGAGACACAGCATCCAGAGAGCCCACTGGCCAGACGGAGAACCGGAATGGAAGAAGGATGGAAAGCAAAACTTGCTTGCAGGAGTTCAGCATTCAAGGCTACAACTGCAGAACCCCCACCTATCAAGCTACTGTGGTCCTAGCAGAGGCTCCTGCCAGTTACAAGTTCCCTACTTGGAGTTCATGGCTGGATTCTAACAGGACTCTTCAAGGAATAGTTCAGAGAGCAGCTGAGCTAGTCATTAGTCATTTGCCTTGTTCATTTATTGTTGTCACTGTGTTCGTTCCTAAAAATCCCTCCCTTAAGCTGTAACAGAAAAAAAATTAAAAATCCAGTGCTTAAGACAGAGACCAGCAACTGAATTTTGTAAGGCTTTGGGCTGACTCTTGCTGGAGCACAGCACTGCTTGTAACCAATGGGCTTCCCAGTGCCCTCAGCACTCTCAGTACAACAAAAGCTGTACAGTCCACAGCAACCCTGAGGTAATAAAAGTATAAAGGAAGAGATGGAATAAATGTGAGATATGTACGATAGTCTTGCCACCTAGAAGAGATTCTGAGAAGGACACTCTTGCTAATTACACAACAGGAGCAGCAGTGGAAAAAAAATAAGAGTCAGTATATTTGTGTTTTTCCTTTGTTTTACACACACACTCCCCTTAATTGGTATCCGTGCAGGTTTCCCTGCAGAACTGTCACTAGTGTTAAAAATCAGATCTTTATAGTCTGTCTTTCTGTCTGTACAAAGTGCAGTTGGAATTGATTTTGATCTCCCAAACTGGTTGCAGAAAGGAAAGTCTTCCTCTCCCTTCCATCTAGGTCACCCATCCTAGTTCCCCTCCCTCCTAAGAAGTTTGTAAGAATTAAAAGCCCTACTTAAACATGATCCACTTGAGATTAGTTTTGTCATCTTCTTCCAAAAAAGAAAAACTCGAACAAAGAAAAAAAAAAGGCAAAAAAACCAGAACACACAATCAACGCCTCACCCACCCCAAAAACAATAGTTCCATTTAAAAAAATAAATAAATAGTGTGTATATTTCATGCTGAAAAAAAAAAAAGTCACAGAAAGGATTCATTTTTGGTTTTCCCTCCCCCGAACACGACACCAGGCATTTCCTCCCCCCTCCCCTGACGTAGACAGGATGGTACATTCGACCGGCAATGTGCATCTGTGTTGGAAATGAGCTTCTACTCCTGCACGGTCCCACATGCATCAGGGAGCAATCCAGCTTAGCTGCTAAAGCAGAGCAAAGGCTTTCAGGTGTTTGGGTATGGTCCCTGCCTGTTCCTTTGGTCCGTCTGTTTAAAGGCTCCTTTGCTGCTCCCAGGTCTCTGCTCTTGTCTGTCTCCGTTAAAACTCTGGTCCCACGTTCCCGCGTCACTGGAGCTTCGTTCCCAGCTTGCGCTGTCTGTTCCTGCAACGACAACACGGGGGGACAGGTGAGACAGGGGACACCACCCCTACCAGGGATAAAACCAACCAAAACAGCAGGAAAATACAGGAGGATTAAAGGAAGGCCCTGCTGAGCTCCACACAAAACTAAAGCTGCACCCGACATACCCTACAGGGAGATCAGCCCTTCCCAGTCCTAAACATCCACCCCATCTCCTGTGTACACAACATTATAAACAACTGCCTGCAAACACCAGAGAGCTGAAATACTGCTTATATGAAACATTCTTAAATCCCACACTCCCCAGATCCACCTCTCAGATGCAGCTGTTAACCCACAACTTGGTATTTTTCTTTACTCTGTGCTATTCTACCCACGGCAGTGGCTACATATCAGAAAATTGATTAATAACTGCATCTAACAAGTCAAATCAGCAACAGCTCCTCCATCCCCTGACAGAACTCACCTTGCTTCTGCTCTCGTGACTGTGTACTCAAACCACAGGATGTTGGGAATGAGGCTGGTGTCTCGGATTAAAAAGAACTCTGAAATTGGCCTGAAAATGGACAAGGTGGGGGAAAGGGGAAAATAATTAGACTTTCTCCACCATGATTTTGATTTAACAAAAAAACAACCAAAACAAAAAGAAAAAGGCACAAAATATGCTCCAGAATTAACAGTACTAGCCTATCACTTCAGGCTGGGAAAAGGATTCTTCATTACATTTAATCAAAAGCTCTTTTCTTTCCTTATACAATATTTCCAGACTATATCACATGTAAATGGCTTTGCAATTTTACTAGGTCATTAGACATTCATTAAGAAAGGTCTGTTCTGCTTGCAAAGCTCCTCCAGCACTCTGCCACACCTCTCAGCTTTAGCAGGGCTTTACAAACGTAGCAGTTGATTAAATTCCCTCTCTTCCCCACCCTTAAATCAAGGACATATGATCCTTTGTATAAGCATGCACAAGAAAACATGGAGGAACAAGTAGGTTACACAACAGTCAGTATGCAAAACTGGGACAGAGCCCAGGAATTCTCATTTCTAACATCTGTAACAAGCCTGCACAGAATAAAGAGCCTTACCATGCAGCTATCCTCGGGAAGAGAGGAGTTAGGATCTCTTGTGTGAAGGCAAACCAGGCTATGGCCATAATGCTTCCTGCCACACCTCCATATAGGACTTGGCTCCAGGTGTGGTAAAGCAAATAAACCCTGCAGTGGAAGAGAAGAGTCACCAGACAGGCTTTAAAACAAGAGGAGGCAAGACTCGAGAGCTGAGGTTCCACTGGACCACAGATGCTGTGAGTGAATTATCCTGCAGATGTTAACAGTGGGTTATCTTTTTTCAATAAAAAGCTGGCAAAAACAGTGGGGGAAAAAAACCTGGGAAAAACTCTTCCCTGCTACAGCAGTTTCAGCTTAGAGCACATCTAGTTTGAGCTTAACTCAATAACACTCCACATTCTTCTTCATCTATCCTGATCAGGTGAGGAACTGTTACTGCTGGTTCCCCCCCAGGAGACTTCCAAAGCCAGTAACAAGATAAGTCCCCTCCAAGCCACCAAAGCTGGAGGAACAAGGACAGTATTTTTGCTGTGATTTTGGTGCTCTCCAACGTAACAGGCACAAAGGCTGCACAGCCAGTGCGCTCACTGGGACTGCACCCATTCGGAGAGCTGCACTGTTTGCCTGTTATCTGTGTGCACAAGCTACATTCAAAATTCTTTTCACCCATATATCATAAAGCCATTATTATCATCTTATCTGACCCTCTGCCTAGCACAGGCCACTTGATTTCCTCTGATTTTTTTTTAAATTAGACTACATACCTGTTATGAATTTAAAATAATCAGTAATAAGGAATCAGCTGTAGTGTACAGCCAACTGTGCAAACAGGTAATTACTTTCCTGTGAAAGACATGGCCCTATTTCTAGCTTGAATTTGTCTGTTTTCCAATCACTGGAGCTCACTTGATACTTGTGTGTGTGTGCATACAATTGGTTTTTTTAATCCACTACAGGGGGAAAAAAAAAACATGATCAAAGTTTTGTTTTCTTTATTCATCTTAATACAAATCTTGCAAGTCAAACAGCTATAAATGTTTTGATTAACTAATGCTCAAGCAAAACAATCAGATTGATCAACTGTAGCAATCCATGTGCTGCAGAGGCTGCTGTGCCAAGGCGTGGGGCAATGATTCCACGATTAGTGCTGGAAAGAGGGTGAGGCAGTGAGGCTGGAGCATGGGAATGGAGCCCATAGGGAATTGGTACAAGCTCAGCTGATTTGGGGGTTTATAAATGCTCCTGTGAAGCACCACACATGCAGCACCTTTGCTTATTGTAAAGGTCTCGTGGCAACACAGCGACTTCCACAAAGCTCCGACTTGTAGAGCGCAGTCGAGAATCAGGTGGGAAAAGCAGGATAAGGAATAACAGGGCTGTGACAGGCCACGGGACTGTATGAGAGCATAAGACAAACAGTTGCTCCATACCTACTATATGAGACTAGCAAAGCCACTGTGACGAGGCAGATGGACAGCACATGTCGCCATAGTAAATCCAGAAACCTCGCATTGTTTGTTTGGTGCATTCTGAAAGAGATGGAGAGCCATTAGCACAGGGCAGGGAGCTGAGCAGGCCTTACCTCTGTCCTCACTCCCTCAGGAACCCTAGGAAAGCCCTACTCCAGTGGGGCCATGGGCAGCTCGACCCCATCCCAGCAGCAACCTGTCCCACGGCAGCAGCTACAGAGCAGCCAGAGAGCCACTCGTGTGTCTCTCCAGCTGTCAACAGGGATTGCTTTGATGGAAGGCAGAATGCTCACAGTTACTGCAACTGGTGTGAGAGGCACATGCTGAGCATATGCAACAGGGAGCCAAGACATCAGAGTCCCTCCATCACCCACAGAGCCAGGAGGGACTGTGAGTTTTGTCTTCCTCCACACGTGGAGCCACAAGGCAGAGCCATGCCCCAGCGGGAGCCTCAGGAAAGCACAGCACAGCATGTAAACCCAGTCCTTGGAAAGGGAGGTGAACTAAAAAGTCATGCAAGTGGGCAACAGATATTACCTAAAAGATTGCAGACAACCCCACTGACAAACTGAGTAGACACATGAGAAAGCAGCTCTTCTTTCCTCCTCCCTATTCTCCCCCTCTTCCCTCACACTGGGGGACCATCACAGCTTAGAAAAAGAAAACTGGGAGACCTGTACCCTGACAGGTAAAAGGAGGCCCACCCACCCCCTCAGTTTTCAGCCTTGATAACTCCAGCCCTACATTCAGATGGAGACAGACATGCTCCATCCACCCAGGCCACAGTAAATTGTGCAGGGCCTCAGACTTCATTCCTTTATCCCACTCAAGTGGCACCCAGCAAGGGAGACACATATTTCAGGTGTTTCAACATATTAACAGCCAAAACCTGACTTGGAATTTTTACCTTAAATAAAGGAACAGAAAGGAATAGACAGAGAAAAACCACATGAATTGGGAGTGGCTGGACGGCATCCCATATTTTGTGGTCACTGTTGAATGGGCTTCTGGGAAGAGAAGAAGAAAGAGTATGGTCAAGGTCTACTCTGTACCCAGCAGCTGGAACACTCCAGATGTGAAGCCAGAACACTCTGCTGGAACATGTGCACACAGTTCACAGGACACATCCCTGCTCACATAGCTCTACCAGCCTTCTTACATCCAAACATCCAAAACCAACATGAGGCAAAGGGGAAAATACCCTCCAACCCCTCACAGTCAGCATTCCACTCAGAACTCCACTGACACCACGACACCCACGGTCCATTCCCTACCTTCACACGGCCGAGGCTCCCGGATTACATTTTTTATTAACCAGTTCACTCCCTCGTTGAACGCCAGCCCTCCCAAGAAAGAGATCTGTGAAGGCAAGACAGCTCTGTCACCCCCTCTAAAAGAGCCTTCCACTTACCAGGCTCTCTCTGTTGACAAAACCCCAAACATTATGTTTCTAATTTTCTTTTTTGACTACTAGAGTTAAAACACCTTCCAAATTCACTATGTGAGGAAGGAAAGCATTTATTTTTCAGCTCACTTTGTGTATTTGGCAACACTTTGTGTATAGGCAGCTTTTCAGCTGATGACACAGAATGAGACACAAATGACACTGTACAGCACTTCTGCCAGGACACTTCCACCAGCAAGTGTAGAAAGTGGCATTTTTTTAACAGGGCAGGTTTTTGGGGATTGGCTTTTCCAGATGACCAACAGGGGGAGTGCAGACACTATTATTTGGGTAAATAGCTTAAAATAAAGGTGACTTTTTAGGCTTTCTGTCTTTTCCCTCTATGCCTATTTTCATCTTGAAGTTGCTGTCTTCAGTTTAAAATGGATTCACATTCTGAGCTAAGCCAGACTGGTAGCATTTATTTTTACTCTTTAATTCCACAGCCCATACACCTTCCCTAAATTAGTCCTGCTGCTGTGATCAGATTCCCAGCTGGTGATGACACTCTGCCTCCTTAACACTCAGTCCCATTCCAGATGGTGAAGGAATTTTTCACTCCATACCCTGAGCCCTGGGTCAGGCAGTGTCTCTCTCCAGCTCAATGGTGACTTCCCACACGAAGAACCGGGAATCAACCTCCACAATTGTCTCCTTACCAACACCTAACAAGTCCCTGTATAAACCCATAAATCTGTGCAAGAGTTACTCTGGCTCATTCTGTCTTTTGGGTCAACAAGAAACCTTTGGATTGCCAAAACTTAACAGCTGCCTTTCCTAGTTAGAAGGCCCATTCCCAGGTCCCTCAAGCCACTGGTTCCCATGACACCGTGGCCCTGTATTAGAAATCTGCTGTCAAAACCCTTTCAGTGGCCCCTATTTTATCTGTTTACTGAGGGTAAATGTTACAAGAGGTTTATACAGAATTTATCCATGACACTGATTCCCAACTACCTTTCAGAGCAGACAGAAAGCATTATGTGTTACAAGAATTCGGACAGAAGAAAGCCTCTCCAGTCCCTGGTATTCAATTCACAGCTGAGAAGCAGCCCTTAAAGTCAGATCCACTCCCCTGGGAATCTGTAGGTTTTATTTTGTATCCCCTTTTCCATCTCAGTAGTTCTAAGAAAGTACATCCTCCTGAGTTACACACACCATTTCCTGCATATGCTGCCCAGCTTGAAGGAACCTACTAAGTGCTATGATCCTACTGGATCTTGGGAGGGTTCCCACTCTGCAAACAGCATTCTTTACTTCCTCAGACATCTCCCTCGATGGTTTTGGACAGATCATGTACAAAACACACCACAGAGCAACAGAGAAATCAGCAAAGGCTGAGCAGCCTTTTAACCTGGTACTGGTGCTAAGTGTCTCCTGCTGTTCTGTGACAGGAAGATGCCTTACCTAGGCTTGCACTTTAAAGAGAGAAAAACAAGTGTGAACACAGGAGCACCAGGTGACAAAGGAAGAGGCTTTAGTCATAAGGAGAGGCTGGGAAGGGAGAGAAGGACTCACCGTGTGAAGCTCTCTCTTGAATATGATGAGTGTTACAAAGCCAACAATAATGAATATTGGACCAAGACTCAAATAAGCTAAAAGCTGACCAGAGAAATCACCTGGGGAAACAAACAAGAGACACAAATCAGTTTGAACTTCACAGGTAACTTGCCTGCCACCAGAGCATGGCTCAGCTGGAGCCCTGGATCACTGGGAGCAGAGGGGCAATCCTGGGTTGCAGAGTGACCCAGAGGAGCCAAGGCAAGGAGACAGCAGTGCTCACATGCAGGCTCAAAATCAGGGATGAGAGGAGCCTGGCATCCTTCAGCAGAGTTTGCTGCCACCCAATTTACAACAATGACCACAGGTGTGGGCCCAGAGTCACTTTAATCCAACATAAGCACAGGCTGCTGCAAAAGAAGCAGCATCTTTCCCTCCCCCCCTCATTCATTTTGCCTCCCTATGCCAGCAATTACCAGCAAACACTCCCCAAACAAATCCTTTCCCACTCCCTTACTAAAATGGGTTCGTTTTCAGCTGGATCAGCTTCCTAATCTGTCTCACCATGTGTCTGCACGAACACTAGCATTAGCAAAATGGGGAGGAAATAAATAGCTAAACATAGCAGGAGATAACAAGGAAATAAAGGAGACTCTGCCTTTTTAACCAGTAGCCCACTTGTGTGACACAGAAGGGGCTTTGAGCCTCCAAACCAAATAACTAATGGTCTGGTTGTCCCCGAGGGAGAATCAGGGAGCAGCAATGGGACCTCACAAGAGGTCATAAGATCCCTCAAAAACTTTATCCTGAACGATCCCAGACACAGAAGCAGGCAGCAACAGTAAAGAGCAGCTGTGTGTTTAGATCCATGTTTCTCTTGCCTCTCTTCCCAGAAAAGGGACACACACAGAAGCATTTTGAGAGAAGATGGCAGCATGAATTCCAGGGAAACACAAAAATAGAGAAATTTTGCTCCAAGACCAGCAATTCATATCAGAAGAGTGAGAACTGTCTACCTGAGAATCTTTAAAGATAGAAGTCACCACAAACCCACTGTATGAACCCAGTGAGCAACCAAAGACATGGGTACTTTGTGTACTGGTTCTGAGACCAGATCCTCTCCATCCCATCACTAAACACAAAAGGATCAGCCCCCACACAAATTTATCCTTCCTCTCTCCTCTCTGAAGGAAACAGGATGCCTCTGCAAGGCTGAGCATTGGACTCATTCCTAGATCAATTCCACTGCAAGATACTGAGTCTCCCCAGCCCACGCACCCACATTTTAAAGCAGCACTTGGCAGAAAGGACTTTAACCTCAGCCTCTGAGTGCTGGGACTGATAAAGAAGTTATTGCCCTGCTACAACAAAGTTCATGCTGCTGATGTTGTTGCCACATAGCTGTGGTTACACCAGGTACAGTGCACGGAAGCCTCTGGAATCCCAGATTCTAGGTCAGATTTGGGAACCAGCAACAGCATCAGCAAGGATTACTAGCAGGAGTGTTAGTCTGCACCAGTGAAATTAGGAAGACTTGGAGGACAAAATCCCCAAGCACACTGGGCTTTCACTGAAGTGAGGTTCTATTTTGGTTTTAACCTGAAAAGCATCGGAAGACTCTGAATTTGAAACTTTTCCTGCACCATATGGCAGGTTTGCCTCACATCAGGTGGGTTCCAAATGCTCCCAAAGCAGAACAGCAACGGATTGTGGCAGCACAAAGAGGATGCGACAGGATCAGTTACCTGGCAATTGAAAATCAAGCCCCTTATGGTTTTACACAAATCAGAAACTCTCAACAAAATGAATCCTGTCTTCAAGGAATTCATGAGACAAAGCACCAGACAATCAAACTATCCCGGAAGCCTTAGGAATATTTTCCAATAGTCTCACTTCCAGCATTACCAACAGAAGAGAGCTCATCATCAAGGAATCACCACATTTCAGATCATTCACTCTGTTAACCCACAGTACATAAAAACTCAGCACTTCCAGACTAGAAGCTGTAATTTTGTCAAGTAGAAACCAAACTAGATAATTTATCTTCTGGGGGGGTTCTATTTCTTGTGCAGATGGTGGAGGAATACTTAAGCAAGTAGTCTTTTAATTTAAATAGGACCAGCAGTACCAAATTCAAGATCCTCTTATCCTGTTATGTCACATGGTAACATTCCCAATAAATCAAACTACCCAGACTTCACAACTCCCACTGATTTTGAACACCTGCCTCTCCAACTCTGCCTGGAAACACCCTGGACAACTGGGAAAACGGGAAGATTTCCTGTCATTCTGCAGAGAAAAGGCCTGGCCAGGTTTCTCCCTTAAATTTGTCCAGTGTGAGAAGAGATCCAGAAAGTCCCAGAGTGCAGAACCAGAAACCATCACTCCCAGATGTTGCCTGCAAGCACCAAGTCCTTCATCAATCTTAACACAAAAGCTCCTCAAACATTTCAGCTGTCCATTTAGAGCGGAACAGATAGCATTAATCATACTTCATATTACTGTAGCTAACAGCAATTAAACAGGCATGTCCTGAGGCCACTTTTTCTAGGGGAGGAGGCAGATAAATAGCTGAGCACTATCTGAAGGAGCTACACAAGAGCCCACAAATGCCTCGCTGGATCAGCAGCTCCAGGCAGAGCTGCACTAACTAAACCAGCTCCGAAATGAGTGGAAATCCCCAGTGAAGGAGGCAGAGTGAGCTCTGAGAGAAAGGCCAGCGCTGATCACCGCACAGAGCTCCGGGGGCCTCCCAGCCTGATTACTGATGTCACTCCCATCTCCTCTCACGCTCCAGTGCGCTCCCAGACTTATTCCCAGGGAAAGGAGACGTGCAGGAGAGCCACGGTTTGAAGTCCAGTAAGATCTAGCAAGCAGCATCCCCCCTCCTTTTTTATAAAGATTAATTTTCCTTTATTTTACTAAGCTTGGGAATTTTAAAGCAATTCCTCCAACCGGTAAGAACAGAGACAAAACCTCTGCAAAAATGCCAAAGGAGAATCTATTTAATGTATACCTTGGGGTTTGTTTAGTTTTAAATTCTGCTTTTTTTGAAGTCCAGCCTTCCCTGGACATCCTCGGGAGCTCCAAAAGCAAAAATACAGAAGGCAGTAGCTCATTTTTGGGCAGCCAAGAGATAAATACGTGCAGCACTATACATAGCTCAGACACACAAGGCTATTTTTTTCAGCCTTCATTCAGCATCTACTTCTGCTCCAATTCAACATTTTACCCAGCATCCTTTCGGTGGAAATATCTGAGCTTCACCACATCAGCCTAACCTGTATAGGATGTAAAAATGTGAATCAACAGCCCCCAAACCACATCCTACCGCAAGATTGAGCTTTGCCACCACCACTTCCTATTGAAGCATCTATTTGTGGCCCTGCTGCTGGTCGTGTGTTCTTGGCCAAGTGCATGTGTGCAAGTTGCACAGACAACACGCAGTGGATGTGTGTCATGGGCATTTACATCACTAAATATTCATGCTCTAAGAGAGCCATTTCCTCAGCTTGCACATGTGGGACAGCGAAAATATCTTCAGGAGGCTTCAAATGATGGCACAAAGGCAGGAATCGGACATAACTTCTGCAGGGAGATTAAACATAAACCTCTGCATTAAAGCAGCCAAACAGGAGCGGGATCTGCTTCTTCCAACAGATACTGCTCAGCTATGGAATGAGCCCTGACTTGTGAGCTCCCACCCAGCACAGAATCACAGGAGGGTTATCAGAACAAACATTCCTATAGGAACAGCACGTGCTGACACTGAACAGCAACATGAACTGCTGAGCCAAGGCACCCACACAGCCCCAGCACCTTTGCTCTGATGCACCCCTTCACCCATGGGGTAATTCTGCACACCAGCCCCTCCAGCTCTGCCTGGCTGTAGGAAATAACCTGGGCAACTGGGAAAATGGGAAGATTCCCTGTCATTCTGCAGAGAAAAGGTCTAATCAAGTTTGTCTCCTTAAAGAATTTGTCCAGTGTGAGAAGAGGAGGTCCAGAAAGTCCCAGAGCTTTAAGAATCCCAGCTGCACTGAAGAGAGGAAGTTTTTTTCTTTTCTCCAAATAGTAATTAAAAACCCCAAACAAACCAGGAACTCAATGTTTCTCCAGTGAAACTCACCCTACAGACAGGAAGTTCCTGAAGATGAGTTTTAAGCCTGCAGCACAAAGTCATCCCATGCAAAGCAATGAATACGGGAAAAAACAACCCTAATTATACACATGACATGACAGGATTTAGTTCAGTTGTTATCAAACAAAACCCCTCAGACTCAGTGTGAGCCAATACCTTCAGAGTAGCATCCAGTGCTCTGCAGCAGTGAAAAAGGCAAGAAGAACATTTTTAAGAGCAAAACAGAAGTCACTGTTACAGCACTACAAAAATTTATTATGCAATTCTGGTGTCACAGCTAAAAAGGGAGACTACACACAGGAAAGGCAAATTGAAAGAGGGCAAAGATAAGTATGTGACAGCAGCCATTCAGAAAACATCAAATAACTCAGATTTTCAGCTCGAAAAGGAAAGCAGAGAATGTAACAGTTCCATAAAGTCATGAATTATATGGAGAAATGGACAGCAAACAATTGTTACCTCTCACTGCACATGAGAAGGAGAGTGTTTGATGGAATTACTGAGAAGTGGACTTAGAAAGAAACAACAACCACATTAAGCTGCAAAGCTCAGTGCCAAAGATACTGTGAGATCCAAAGCGGAAATGGATTCAAAGAGCAATTAGACATACAGCTTTTATACATCCATCAAAGGACTTAACGGTCCTGATGCAATCACCAGCTCATTACTGGAAGGACATACAGAAGAAGGATTGTTCCTGCCTACCTGCCAGCAACCCAGCACTGCCAGATCATTCCTTGGTCTCACCAAAGTACAGTTGCTGATAAGAAAAGCTTCAGGATCAAAAAATTCTGAAAGCAGCACCAGGATGACATTTTTCCAGGCTGTCCTCTGCAGCAGCATGCTTTAGCACACTCAAGCAGCACTGCCTGGCTGGTTTCTTCTCCCTGTGTTTGATCCTGACATTCCCTAAGGGCAGTATTTCAGCTCTCCAAGATCCCATTCCTCAGACCAGTCTGCAGTTGATTACCACAACGTTCATCCACTGTTTCTCATTTATTTTGCTCAAAGCGGACATCACAGAAAGCCCTGGAGAGCTGTGCAGCCACACGAGCAGTAAAGATGGGTTTGGTGTATCACTATTGATAAGGAAACACTAAATCAGGACAAGGAGGATCAGCACCCTTCTGGAGACACCTCTCCCCTTCACATTTACAAGAAGCAGCCCCAAACCAGGCTTTGTGTGGCAGGCACAAATCAGCAGTGACAGCTTTTTACCTGCTCACAGCGAGCGGGACCGTCACTCGTGGCAGATGAAAGCCGGGGTGGCAGCAGTTCTGTGCTGGAAGTCTTTAAAGACCTGAGATTTTAAGAGCTGGTTGCCACAGAGGCTCAGCATCCTCAGGATCAGCCAAGAGCCAGAGCTTTTTGCCACACAGCAGTGCATGACATGCCAAGACAGCTTAATAATTTATGTTGGTAAAAGCAGGATCTATTTCTCGTTCTGACCCTCTCAGCAGCACGAGGCCACATTAACTCCACAGTGCTGAGCACGCTGCCAACATCATTATTTTATAAATATACATTATCTAGAAGCTTTATGGACCTGGACTTAAGCTGTACACAGGCAGAACGTAAACAGCTTTCTAAATAAAGTCAGAGCACTTTCCCCAAATCCAGGTAAAAGCATCAGACCTACCACCTTACTGCAAGTCATTTTTTCAGACCACAATGTAGTCTACCTAGACTTTAGTAAAGCCTTTAAAGCCATTTCCCACAGCATTCTCCTGCAGAACATCCATGGCTTGGGTGGTGCACTGTTCAGTGGGTAAAAAACTGGCTGATGGCTGGGCCCAGAGTGGTGGGGAATGGAGATAAATCCAGCAACACCCCTAAAACCAGGGGTGTTCCCCAGGGCTCAGTACTGGGGCAGGTTCTGTTTAATATCTTTATCAATGATCTGGATGAGGGGATGGAGAGCACTCTCAGGCAGTTTGCAAATGACACCAAGTTGGGCAGGAATTTTGATCAGCTGGAGGGCAGGAAGGCTCTGCAGAGGGATCTGGACAGGCTGGATCCAGGGGCTGAGGCCAACTGTATGAGGCTTAACAAGGCCAAGTGCTGGGTCCTGCATCCATGGAATACCCCAGTTTGGGGGAACAGTGGCTGGAAAGCTGGAAAAGGACCTGGGGGTGCTGTTTGACAGCAGCTGAACATAATCCCATCTATGCCCAGGTGGGCAAGAAGGCCAATGGCACCTGGGTTGTACCAGTAATGGTGTGGGCACAGAATCAGGGCAGTGACCGTCCCCCTGTGCTGAGCACTGGTGAGGCACCACCTCCAATCTTAGGGTCAGTTTTGAGCCCCTCACAACAAGACACTGAGGGGCTGGAGCATGTCCAGAGAAGGGATGGAGCTGGGGAAGGGTCTGGAGCACCTGGAGCGGCTGAGGGAGCTGGGGGGGCTCAGCCTGGAGAAAAGGAGGCTCAGGGGGACCTTCTCACTCTCTATAACTCCCTGAAAGGAAGGCAGAGCCAGGTGGGGGTCAGGTTGTGCTCCCAGGGAACAAGGGACAGGACGAGAGGAAACAGCCTCAAGTTGTGCCAGGAGAGGTTCAGGTTGGATAGTCAGAAAAATTTCTTCATGGAAAGGGTTGTCCAGCCCTGTCAGTGTCCATCCTCATCCACACATAACCCTCATCTCAATGCTGATTTACCCCCACACACAATCATCTCCTCCCTTTCCCTGTGTAAGACACTCTCAATGCAGAGAGAAAATAATCGAGTTATGTCACACTGCTCAAGATCTGACAGATAACCCTTGTGCAACAACTTCCACCACCTTCATTTCCCAAACCAATCCAACAAATGGAGCACAGAATGTGCTCTGTGTATTCTGCCAGGTTCAGATAAGGAGATGAGATACAGAGATGAATATATCAGTCCTACTGGGAAGATTATTCCCCATCTCCCCCAAACTGTAAAATTAACATATTTGAGAAGGGGGATGGCAGAAGTGTGTACAGGGTGAAAGAAAATGCAAGCCAGAAAAGGAAATGCCAGTACTTCACATAAAGTACCTCAGAAAACCACAAAACAGCCATGAGAGGGAGGGCCAAGAAATAATGCATCTCCAGTGCCAGATCTTTTCAGTTGTCACATTTCAAGTCTCCTGGCTAAATGGGCACTTTCAACCCAGAAGATCCCTAAGCACTGTAGAAGCTTTAGGAATTGCACTACTGAGAGGAGCTTTCATCAGGAACTAAAATTCAGCTATCGAAACGGGACATACAGCAACACAACGCAAGTTAGGGGGGACTCACTGGGAGAACTGGAAATACTGAGGATAGTGTTAACACCAAAGTGGGACTTTGAGCACGTGCTCAACACTAACACTCTGACACTTCATTTTTTTATTATCTACAAGCACTTAAAACCAGCAGAGCACAAAGCACCTGAAGAGGAGCTCCAAAGGACCACAGTTACTGATGAGACACCACTTATGCTGCTGCTCTCTGAACACAGACTGGTGCCTCTTGCACAGTGACAGATCAGGGATTCATCCCAACACAACCTGGGCCAGGCTGCTCTGGTGTGCAGCACCACAGGGATCCAGGGGCACAGGACCTTTAGGGATCACACCTGTCCCAGCTGGAACAGCCCATCCTGTATTCAAGCACCTGCCTGGACCCAAACCCACCTTGCCACGAGCTGAGCTACAGGACACCCTGTGCCTGGAGTCCTCCAGGCGTTTCCCTCAGCGCTCCCTGACTCAAGCGCTCCCAGAAAAGCCATCAAACCCACCTCGGGGACACGGCCACGGTGCCACTGCCCTGCTCCCAGCACTGCCACCAAACCCACTTGGCATCGGAGCCCACCTCAGGGCAGGGACCACCCTGTCACTGCCTCACTCCCAGCGCTGCCACCAGACCCACCTGGCAGCCAAGCCCACGCTGGGGACAGTGACACCCTGCCACCCCCACTCCTCTCACAGCCCCAGACCCACTGGCAGCCGAACCCGCCCCGGGGACAGAGACCACCCTGCCATGGCCCCGCTCCCTGGGGTGCCACGAGGCTCCCAGAGCCCGCTGTCCCTGTGTCACAGCACGCCAGACCCCCAGCACGGGAGGCAGGGAGGTGACACCGACCCCACCGCGCTGCTGAGGGGAGCGGCACAACATGGGTGGGACCCTCGCCTCGATGCCGGGGGCTACCACACATGGCCAGGGGGCTGCAGGGGGGGCCAGGAGGCGGTGTGGGGCGGGGAGGGCGGCACTGGAGGGCCGGGACGGAGCCGCCCCCTCCCCGGGCTCTTCCCCGTGCCCCCCCCCCGCAGCCCCCCAGCCCGGCGCCCCCCACCGCGCATGCGCAGCGCCGCTCCCGCCGAGGCTCACAATCTGGCAGCGCGCCCCGCCGCCCCCCAGCGCGCACGCGCGCCCCGCCGCCCCAGCGCCGCCGCTCAATGGCTCACTATTTGGCAGCCGCCAGCCCGGCCCTCGGCGGCGCCGCGGGGCGGCGGGAGGGGCCCCGCCGCGGGCCGACGGGGCGGCGCGGGGGCCCGGCGGGGGCGAAACGGAGCGTTACCTGCAGGGTACTCGACGTGAGTGAGGGAGACCGGCCGCCACGGCGCGGGCAGCGAGCACTCGCCGACTGCGGCCATCTTACCCGGATACCGGGCCGGGCCACCGCGGCCAATCGGGGCGCGCTTAAGGGGCGGTGCGGCCAATGGGCGGGGGCGCGGGGAGCGGCGGGCCAATGGCGGCGCGCGGCAGGTGAGGCGCCGGCCAGCCCAGCGCCGCCCAATTAAACACCCGGCCCGGGCAGCGCCGCAGCCAATCGGTTGCCGGCACCGCTGCCCAGCAGGGGGCGGGCACAGGGAGGGGCGCAGCCAGTCGGAAGAAAGGCGGGCGGCAGAGCGCGTCGTCATTGGCCGGAGGGGTGGTGCGGATTAGCCAATCAGCGACTCGCACTGGCGGCTGCTCTCAGCCAATCAGCGGCGGCGCTGGCGCGGCGGGCGCGGGGCGCTGAGGCGGGGGCTCGGCGGGCAAATGGCCGGGCTCGGTTCCCCTCACAGCCCCGGCGGGGACAACCCGGGCTCCTCTCACAGCCCTCACACCCCGTGGGAACAGCCTCGGGTCCACTCACACCCAGGCGGGAACAGCCCGGGCTCCTCTCACATCCCCAGTGGGAAAAGCCAGGGATATCCTCAAACCCCCGGCGGGTCCCGCTCTGAGCTCCCCTCACACCCCTGAGGGGGACATGTCTGGGCCGGGCTCCCCTCACACTCCTCCTGCAGCCCCCTCAGTCGCTGTTAAAAAAAAAACAACAAAAAACACCACATTAAAAAATATGTGTTTTTTAAATTAGAATCGTTCATTTTAAAAGGGCATTGCTACATTAACCTCCACCTTGCAGCATCACTGTGCTACCCCGAGCACATTTTTACTTGCACCACACAGGAGTGATTCACTGATAAGGTCCAAGCTCCATTGAAAATACATATTTATTTGGGGTTTTTTTAAATAACACTAGGAAGAAGATAGATTTTTATAACCACATCCAGCTCTGTAAAGAACGAGCACCTCCCCTGTGAATATGCACACGTGAAAATAAAAGCCTGGAATAAAGTCATTGAATCACAGAAGGGTTTGTGTTGGAAGGGACCTTAAAGCTCCTCTGTTTCACCCCCCGCCATGGGCAGGGACACCTTCCACTAGCCCAGGTTGCTCCAAGCCCCGTCCAACCTGGCCTTGGACACTTCCAGGGATGGGGCAGCCACAGCTTCTCTGGGCAACCTGTGCCAGGGCCTCCCCACCCTCACAGGGAACAATTTCTTCCTACTATCTAAGCCCTGGAAGAAAATCAGGTACATCCCTTAAAGGTTCTGCAAAGGCCAGGCAACACATGGTCCAGGTGACACCTTTTTTTGGTCCCCAAATACCTTTAACTACTGAAATCACCCACTTTGAAGACCAAGCCAAAGGGATGTTCCCATATGTGACCCCAGAGGTAAAACTTACCTGGGGAGCCTGAGGAAAAGCAGGACATAGACAGTGCAGCACTGCAAAAGTGAGATACACGAGCAGCATTGCACAGAAAAGCTTTCAGAAGGCAAATCCACCTTCAGACCAAACCACCAAAGTTAATTCAATTTAAAAAAATAAAACTTACAGAAAAATAAATATGCAAGAGTACTGCAAGAAGTGATAAACACAGGCACAGGGTCACGCCTTTAATTTGTGTCAGGAAAGCACATGGACCATGATTTCTATGCCTTAAAGTAAGATTTCAGAACAGGGAGAAATCTCCTTTTCCTGCAGTTGTAATATACCTGCTTCAATTATGATTGTATCCCATTAAACTCAACAGGCTCTTCAAACTGACACTCTCCTTGGCATTGCAAGAAGAAAAAACAGCATTAAAGTCTTATTATTTGGAAAGAAAGAGCAAATATTTACTGCAGGAGCTCAGTTCATCACAGAAGACTGCTATGAGGTAGCATGAGTGATTTACTGCTTTCATTATTCAAGTTAAATAAATCTCCTCCTTTCCAAGCTATTGAATGTAGAGTTATGCTGGCAGAGTGGATTACATTTGATCTATGTACCATGACAAGTACTGAAAATTGTGGGCTTCATTGCTGTATTCACCCACTCCTTCCTGAACAGGAGAAAAAAGTGTCAATACACAGGAGCAGCCTTTGCTCTGCTCCTCAGCATAAGAAAGCACAGAGCTGCTCCTGAGCTGTAATGAGTGTGGAGTCTGACTCCATGGAAACTGAGATAAACTCCTTTTAACTCTTTCAACTAATGATCAGGGTGTGGCGCGAGACAAAAATTTTCCTACTCATGAACATTTTATTTGCATACATCAGAGTTCATGACAGGCTTGCATTAATGCCAACAGAGGCTCGGGGGGGGGGGTTATTTTTAAGCACAGGGATGAAATTTTAATCACTGTGGAAGAAACAGCCTATCTGATTCACTCTGGTTTCTGTATCGTCTGAAAATTAGAGTATTTAAATCTACTGTAATTGCCTCAGAAGAGTTAGAAGACGAGTTTCTTGCATTGCTCAGCAGATGGGCCCCTCTGATACCAACCCACAGGCTTTGCTCTGGGTTTCTCTCATGCAGTTTGGGAGCCTGATAAGTTCTACAAGAACCTGGGACAATGTTTTAAGAGGTTCTGCTCCTCACTGGGATTCCTGTTATCACTTCATCACAGCCTGCTACTCTACACACACCACACCCCAACACAGCCAAACCACCACAGAAAAATCTGAAAAATGAAACCCCATAGTTTCCAACCACTGCTCAAAGCACAGGAGCTGTTTTGTTTATTTTATAGCCTGCTTAGTCTATGGACGTGTCAGTGGACCCGTGGAAAACTCCCCATGCAAACAAACCCTTTAAGTTTACATCGAAGCCCTTTAAGTTCATAATTTCAACTCTGGGAAGAGCAAACCTTGTTCTATACCATCACTAGCACCAAAGGTGTCACCACAATTGTCACCTAAGTTAGAAACCAAAGACTAAGTTTCTAGCACGTGTTGCCAGGAAATTTAGAAACAAAAACCACAATCAATGAAGGAAAGTTTTATTTGACTTGTAATGCCCACATCCTAAGATTAAAGATATTAAAAAAAATTAGCTGCAAAGAAAAAAAGATAGAAGCAAAACAAGAACAGATTTTTACACCTTTAGGAAATCAACAAAAAAATAGGCACAAGTTTACATTCATTAGTTTCAGATATGGCAGAGGAATGTTCTACTGAAGAGGGGTAAATAAAATCCTGCTTTCCCACCTCCCTGTATGAGACAGCACAAGTCATGCTCTTCAAAGCCACACTGATCTTGTAGATACAAGGCAGATTTTTCCTCATAATTTTTTATTAATGTGCTTTAAAGATCCTAAAGACCCTCCTAAAGCCATTTGGCGTAGTCTCTACATACATACTAAAGTACTGAGTATGTACTTTAACCACTGGTGAAGCTTGTTACAACCTCCACATAAAAAATGAAAGTCATGCATATTTTAAATTCTGTTTAAGCATCAGAAACTACTGAGGGATTTTATTTCAGAGCTGCTAAGCCACTTTAAATCCCCATCAGTGTTAAAATCTTGCGAGTGTCAGCCCAGACTGATTTAACCCCTTGAGAATAAGGGTTCATCATAAAAAGGCAAATGTCTCATCTCTAGGGATTCTACCTGAATATGTATCTCTGCTACTAATGCTGAAGAATTTCCTTTGCTAAACCCAAAATGCTGGGGAAAGGATTTTCTAGGGATGTCAGGAAGCCAGAGGGCAGGCAGGTGTTCTGACATAACCTTTTACTCTGCCCAGCAAAACAGGTGAGTCTGAGACAGTCACCATTTGGGCTGAGCCCTGCTCTGGGATCAATGGAAGCAGCCAAGCCCCTGCTCAGGGTTGGATCCAAAGGAGCTGAACACAGCAGGTCACTGACCATCGCTCCTGAGGTCAGGAGAGCTTCTTCCATAGGAATAACTCCTCTCAACCCACTGGTCCTTGCAATTCCCTCCTTGCAATTCCTGCAAACCCCTTTCTGCCTTTCCTCTCGAGCTACACTGGGACTGGGGAGGGACAAAGAGCAGCAACAAAATGAAACATCCATCCCAGTAAAGATAAAACCAGTTTGTCTGGGCAGACAACCTTGGCTGGAGCAGGGCCCAGTGTTGTGGGCAGAGAGGGAGAACTCAATGCTCAAGAAGCTGTGGAAGTTTCCGAGGCAGATTCCTGTTTACCTTCACTGGGAGGGCAGCAGTGCCCTACTTGCAAAAAAGGCTAAGGAAAAGAAAAGCATCAAGCTGTAATAAAACAGTCTTTGTTCACTGGATTGATTAGGAATTTACAATTTCTCAGCTTAAAAAGCCACAGTGCAAGTTAGTGTTTGCTTCAGGGGGACCCTGTTTCAGCCTCCTTTCCTGCAAGGCTGCAGAAAGCCCAAAGTCAGCAGCCAGTGTTCTTGTCTGTACACAAAGCAGGCAGGCTGCCCAAGCACTGAGGCCAAAAGACACTCAAAACAGTAAATAAATACACATAAAACAACTCTAAAAATGAGCATTTAACAGCACTGATTGTTTGGAATTACAATCCGTCTTGTTACATTAATCTTCACATTTTAGCATCTTTTTAACCACTGTACAAAAGCTGCTGAAGTGACTCTTTCTTCTAAACCAGCCATACAAGAGCACAAAGCACAATAACCATTTTTTTTTCTCTGCAAAGTAACTTGCTTTCAGAATATACCATCCTTTTGAATCACAGTTCACATGTAGCAGGCGTGTCGTGCTAATACAATATCCTCTGTTTCTCCTCTTCCTGCACACTGCCAGGAGCAAGACACCTCAGAGACCTTTCCTAGTTTCAACTGCTGTCTCTTAAATCCTTCTCATAACAGTTTATTCCATGCAGCCTCACTTTGGGCAGCTGCTCCTCATTTCTGCCTCAGCATTGTCCTGTTTATTGCATTAATCTGGTTTCCAGGATAAGCCACATCAGCCTGATGTGCTTACAGAGCACCAGATGTTACGTGCTCTACACTTACCCTCTTGCAAACATCTCAGGAACATTTCAGGCAACCACAGAATGTGTCAGGTTGGAAGGGACCACAGTGGGTCATCTGGTCCCACCTCCCTGCTCAAGCAGGGTGACCCCAGAGCACAT